TTTTTTTAATTAGTTTACAATATTAATGAATGAAAATTTAAAAAGCTGGCTATAGTGACATCGCACATATTAATATAAATTTAATATGATATAAATCAATTCAATTCAAATAACTACATATAATCTTACCTCGTCAATAAAGATAAAATTAAGTCTATACAATTGGTAAAAAAAATTTTTAAAATGATGTAGGTGCTTATGCCTAAAACCCAATAATATAGACAAAAGAACCTACTACGGGAGTTGCAAAGAGGACACTGTCTCAGAAATGGTTTGAGTCGCATGATAGCGCCTAAAAAAATTGCTTAGCAGATGTTGGTCTAGCTCAAAGGCTGATGAGTACTTTGAAGCATCTGGGATTAGTTGAGTTGTAATGGAAGATGATGATGTTGCTTTTAGATCATTGCTGACATCATGCTATTGTGGATGTTGTCCAATTTGTTGCTGCTGCTGTAAATGTGGTGGTAAAACATTACTAGACTGATTAGCTGGTAAACTCATGTTGCTCATAGTTTGCGTAGGTGGAGGAGCAACAAGCTGTGAAGGCTGGCTATGATGATATGTATTTCCGCTAACAGATGGCTGTTGTATCATGTGATGTTGTAAATTCAATTTGGGTCCATCTTCCGCTTTTTCTTCCTCTCGACGCTTCAAGCATGCAGCTTTCGGATTTAAGTTTCGTTCTCGAACTTGTTGTTCTAAAGTCATAATAACTTCCACGGCCATATTAAGAATACCCAGCTTAGTTTGAGGTTTGTCAGATTTTAGGTGTGTCATACACATGCGTCCCAATTCTTTCAAAGCCTCATTAATATCACGTATACGAATGCGTTCACGAGCATTGTTTGCCTGACGCCGTTCTTTTTCACGTATAGCTTTGACAGCTGGCTCCGCGTCATCATCATCGTCCGCTGAGGAACAATATCTACGAGGTCTCTTTGAACCTTTTGTACCTTGAGACAGCTGCTGCAGCTGTGTTGCATTTGAAGACTCAATAGAGCTCGTGGGCTTTGTGTCGGACATTTCCAGATTCGATATACTAGAAGTTGTTGATACACCTGTGTGTGTGATATTACTGATTCCTAATTGCTCTTTACGTTTTTTAGTTGGTTTTGAGGATGCCGATATTGATGCCGAGACACTTCGTTCCATTTTTATATTTGTTAAGCTAGAAGCTCCAATTGTTTGAATCGCGTTTCCACTAGTTGCAGGCGTGCTCAATGAAATAACTTCATGCGTCAGGGTATTTGACGAATTAGGTACTAGTGCGCCATTTCCAGCAGAGCTACCGCTGCCAACTAGATGGGATGAAGGTGAATTGGCCACAAAGGAAGATAATGTTTCTGTATTGTCTATTGAATTTAATGAAGTATTAACATTTGTTAACAGTTCCGGTTCGCAGTGGTTCCGAAGTACATTGAGAGCATCATCCAAGCGCTCTTCCATTCGAGCGCCTTGAAAAACAGATGCCATGGTATGTAAGCTAGTTACCGGTAGCATATCGCTTGAATAATTCGAAGCGCCACTACCATTTAAAACATTATGATTCCATACGGCGTTTCCAGAAACTGTCCCATCCCCAACTCCAGACTGTGTTAATGGTGGGGGTGAATTAACAGGTGTTGATGGGTTCGAACTGAAGCTACTTATACTCTGGTCAGCTGCTGCAGCTGACATATATATCTGCTGTCGTAATGACGCTGCCGCCGAATTAGTAGCTCCAGATACTTTCGTATTTATTCCGCCAAAGCCATCAGTATTTTGAATTGCAGGACTGAGCTGTGGTTGATTATGATGGGAATGTGCGTGAGGTAGCGGGGTATGATTTAAGGAATGGTGGGTTATTTGCCCAGCCGAAGACAGGGATGTATGTTGCACTGCTGTTTGATTGTGTTGTGGCGAATTGTACACTGCTGGCGAGAGAACTGTCGGCTGCCCAATATTTGGTAATGAACCCGAGCCACCCCGAAACGAACTCATTGGAGGAAGAGATGTCGATGCTGGACTGTGCATACCAATCTGACCACTTTCACCTCCTATGTGCATGCCAACATTCGTACTATTTGTTAAACCCTCAGCATTATGAACTTGTTGATGTTCCATTGAATGTGAAGATATGGGTGCGTTGGTCTGATAAGTCGTTTGACTCATATAATTAGTACTGTTATGCATTTGTGATTGGTACCATCCAGCGCTACTAGTTGCCCCGGAATCAAAATACTGATCAACCGTCGATGTGTTGGCAAATCTATTATTGCTCCCGTTGGCATCGTGAATAGAATTAAAATCACTAGGGTATATTCCGTTTTCAACAGAAAGACCTCCATATGGTGAGTGATAGCCCCCTCCCCGTTCAGATACGACTGCTCCTGGGGGTTGCTTATTTGCTATTTTGTTGAAACAATTTTGAAACACCTCATACAAGTGCATCGGTTCATCATCGCTGGTCGCCATTCTTTCTCAAATTTTTGGACGATAGCAGAAAAGATATCTGTATTAAAAAACCTGTAAGGAAAAAATTATTACAGTTAGAATTTTAGATAAACTATAAGTCTATTGTTATACCCTGAACCCATTGAAAATGGGAAATTAGGGTATAATGGTTTTGTGAAAAGTATGTAACAGGCAGAAGGAATCAACGCAGACCCCAGAAAGTATATATACTACTGATCAGGACGACGAGCTGAGTCGATTTGGCCATGTCCGTCGCCTAGATCTCAGAAGTTATAAGAGCTAGAGATATGGAATTTGGCGGCATGCATACTATGGGTATACCATACGCAGTAACAGATTATCATATTTTTCGATAGCTTATACAAACACTTTTTTATCGAGAATAATCGAAAAATTGATTTTTTTTTTTCAGCTTAATTTGAATACTTTTAGACCTGTGTTAGATTCTCTGTTTATACATATGATGAATACAAAGATTTTGGAATGTACAGATTTTGAATACCACGCCTCCAATTTATTTCAATTACTAGAGACACATTTCAACCATATGATTACCTTCTGAAAGTTTCATAAAGATAGTCCATCTACAAAAGAAATTATTCAACTAATAAATTCCCATAATATTGCCCAAACTGCAGCGCAGCCCTCGCGAAGTCGCTGCTTACTACGCAGTTAGCAGAGCGCATGCTTATACGTACGCGTGGATGCATGTGTGTGTATGTGTGCATAAAAGAAGTGCAAAACGATTACAATTTCAGCTTGGAGGGTTCCGGTTCTCCTAGTCGGTCAGTCTTGACTAGAGCCTTCTTACTTGTTTGCAGATGGGAATGCATGCAAACAACGAATTTTTGCATGGCTAAGAAAGCTTTAAATATTTTTTTGAACCCTCAATGAGATATACGCTGAATATTTAAATCATTCTACACTTTCTTTATACATACATACAAAAATCCATTCACGCACATACATTCACAAGTACGTATAAACACACGCTTTTAGTTAGTAGCGACTGCGCTTGGGCTGCGGTAAGGGCACTGAGGATATCCATATCAGAAAATCATATTTCCAGTATCAGGATAGTTCGGGTCTTTGATCTGGCTCTCTTTAAATCCATAATTAAATATAAAAGACTATTTCGAGAGTCTATTGAAACGCAAAATAAAAATTTAGTTAACCCAAAGAAGGGGCACTTTCTTAATATTTTGCAATATTTAGTGGATTTTTGGATATTTAGTGGAGCTTTGCTTTAAAAATCGATTAAAAACATGATCGAAAACCAGTAATAAATGTATATTAGCTACATTTTTAAAGTTAGAGTCGCCAAATTTTTATACCCTGAACCCATTGAAAATGGGAAATCAGGGTATAATGGTTTTGTT